TAGGTATTCCAAATTTTGACATGCAAAGTGACTTCAAAGTTTTCAGGGAAAAAGAGTTATTATAGTGGACATGGAAATGAAACGTTAAGATATTCACCCGCGGTCCTTTCCTCCCCCCTCCCTCACCGCCCTCCTTTAGGACATTTTGTTTGTGTTTTTGGTGTGCAAGTCAGTGGTCCGTAGCGCACACTGTGCGGGTATGGTTGGAGGAGAGGCTGCGGGAGAAAGAGAGATGGAGAGAGAGAGGGCGCGACCAGTCATCCAGCACGGGGCCGAGCGGGGCCCCACTGAGCCAACAGGTTCCCTACGGTTCCCTCAACACATGCTGCCTTCAAACTCCCTCTCTCCCTCTCTCTTTCTCCTTGCTTGGCGTTTCCGGCCCCTCCCCTCCCCTCTCCCTTACCTCCCTACCTGATGCGTTGCCGCCCCTGAGACCCCAGGGTGTTTGCGCTGGCGGATTGGAGCGATACGTGTGCCGAGTGTTGACGGGGACTCCACTGCGGGGGCGGCTGGTGGCGTAAGCCCCCGCTGCACCGCCCCGCCCAATATAGTATACGCCTTATTTGTTTTTCCGTGCAAATTCCCTCCCCTCTCCCCTCGCGCGCGGCACGCACCCCCGGCCCCACCCCTCTCCGCTCCGCCGTCAATAATGGCACGGAGTACGTAAATAATTTTTCTGACCACTTTGCGCGGATTTGCCTGGCCGGGGCCGGCGGCCGCTGCGCGCGCACCAGGCGCTTCCTAACGCCAATCTCTCTCGCCCCTCCGGGCGGGCCGCGCCCGAGGCAGCCTCGCCGCCACCCATCTCTGTCCCCCGCACGGCGGGCTAGACCCTTTGGCGCGCTATTTTCCTCCTCCCTCCCTCTTTCTCTCTTTGGCGGTCGTGCGCAGCTCGGCGGACCACTTCATTTTTTCCGCCAATATTTACCTTGGCTTTATTGGGGAACGGACCCTCACTTCCCTCCTCCCTCCCCCACTACATCCGGTTGCCGGCATACGGGCGCTGTGCCGTCCCTCCTCCTCCGCTTCCCCTCCATCCACAACGGCTCACTTCTTGTCGTCCTGCGGGCGCGCTGCTGCGGGAGCAAACATTTGGCCTGTGCGGCAGGAGGCGCGCGCGCGCGCGCCCGCACGGGAATTTTAAAAGTACGCGCGCACAAGTGAAATTATGAGGGCGTTATTTTCTTTTTTATTTCCAGCTTACGGCAACCTGGGCTCGGTGCTGAGCGGGCTCAACAAGCTCACCGAGGCGGAGCACGCGTACCGCATGGCGCTCAAGCACAGACCCAACATGGCAGAGGTGCACTACAACCTGTGAGTATCGGATCCGGGATCCAACTCAACACACCTTGGACATGTGTAGCTACTCGCGGGAGCTACAAGACGAGTGACTGATTGCGTCCATCTTTTGTCTGCAGAGGCAACCTGCTGGCCGCGTCCGAGAAGTACGAGGCCTCCGCGGAGAGCTACAGACGCGCCATCAAATACCGCCCCACCCTGGCCCGTGAGTATTGTGACTCCGCCCGGTCCACCGCATGAGCGCGTTAACGTCTCGTCTCGTCTAATCACCCACTCGTTCTGTCTCGCAGTGGCCTACGTCAACCTGGGCCACATCCTGGCCAAGCAGGGCCGCGTGCAGGACGCCGGCCAGGTGTTCCGGGAGTGCGCGCTCATCCCGGCGACGGGGCTCAAGGACCCGGTGGCGCACGAGTCGGCGAGGACCTCGGCGCTGCTGCACCTGGCGCACCTGGAGGTGGGCGTCGGCCGGCTGGCCGAGGCCAAGCAGGCCCTCGACATGGCCCTGAGGATCAAGCCGGCCCAGTACGAGTCCAGGGTGAGTCTCCCAGCAGCAGCCGCGTCCCCTTGCCGCAGCGCGGACTGTTTTCCAGAGGAGCGCGGAAGTTTTAATTGCGTACCCTGTCTTTCGTTACAGCCAATTTTAAAGCTGATGGCGGAGGTCGACGGCCACCTCAAGGCCAACCAGACGACTGCTCGCAGGGTCGTCAAGCAGGTCCTCGTGGAGGGAGGTGAGGTCCTCGAGCAGGCCGCGCGCGTCCCGACGACCTTGGGCACGACCGCCAACACGGACGCTGCGGCCACTCCGCTCAACGTGAGTACCTCCTTACTATGATTGGTAACTCTGTTCCCGTTGGCTGCGTCTTCATCTGTGATGTCCACGCTTGCAGGAGAGCCGCTGCGCTACTACCGACAGCCGCAGACTGCTGAGCCACTCGTGAATCGACTCCGCGACTGGTCATAGGTGTCTTCCAGTCAGACTGATGTACAGAATATTGTTGTTTATTATTACGATTCTATATGGCCTTGATATTGCTTGTTTTCGTTACTACCAAACTCTTAAAGAGCTGGATATTTTTGTTGTTTTCTTATTATGCTGTTACCAAAGAATGACCTAGATAGGGCAAGAGTCGAGGGAGAAAACGATCGGTAACGTCCGCCTTGGCGCCAAAGTTGACCTACTTTTTTGTATATACAATTTTCAAGTCAATTTTATATTGTGACTCAATCTAAAATTCCGAGTTAAAATCTTGGTCACAATTCATCAAGTTGAATCAAATGAAAAACAGAAAAACACGTAAGAGATAGCGTCAAGGCGCACGTTACCGCTCCCGCTTCTTATAAAATAATATGTATGAAATCTACATATCTGTAAGCTTCTGTTAAAAACGAAAAGTGATGAACGCTTCCTGATGTTCGGACCAACGCTGAGAACTGTGCTGCAGCTTTCCATGCCAAAATTCTGGAGTTCCATTACAAACGCCAATTTGTGGCTTCTAGGTATTCCAAATTTTGACATGCAAAGTGACTTCAAAGTTTTCAGGGAAAAAGAGTTATTATAGTGGACATGGAAATGAAACGTTAAGATATTTGTGATCACTACCTATATTGTAAAATAAGCGAATGTGTAATTATTCAATGTTGCTGTACCGAAATGAAAAATATTGGTACTTATTTTTTATTAATGTCAGGAAACCATTAAACTGACTTATTTATCTAAAATGAACCGTTGTCTTAATAAATTTTCATCTAAACCATCTAAACAATAAACGTGGGGTAACCCGAACCGCACCTGGCCTGGCCCTGGCGCACATCAATATTCACACACAAAACAGTTGAAAAATACCGCCCCAAACGGTGTCTACTGCAGTGCGTCAGGAAACGAAATTTTAGCCGTGTCCGGAAACGAGTTTTCCCCCAAAGTTTTGAAGTGTATCGACTGCCTGGACAGTGGCGTCCGGGGGGCGGAAGGGGTGGAGGCGGGAGGCTCGTGGAGCGTGTCGTATGCTAATGTAATCAATCGGACAACCGGGTAGGGAGGCAAAGGGGTAGAAAAAGCGGCGCGCCCGAGTGGGAGTGAGGGGGCGGGCCGGGGGCAGACGGCGACACTGCCTACCTCCAGAAATGATGAAAAACAAATATGTTTAGGGGTAGAGATGCTTTTTTTATCACCAGCAGGGTGAACAACAGGGAGTCCAGTACACTGTCGATGGGGAAGGCGCCCCGCTGTAGCAGCGCGGCGGAGTGGGGCGGCTCAAGAGAGAGAAGGGAGGAAAGGGAACTCAAGATGCCGATCGGATCGTTATGTCGAACAGAGAGGGGGGCGGAGATAAAGGCGAAAGACGCGAACAAAGGCAGCGAGTAAACAAGCAACACAAGTCGTCGACTAATTGACGGAACGAGCGACACGAAACGGCCGTCCCGTCCCACGCCGTGGCGCGCCGCCCGACCAGATCATATCGCAAAAATTCAATTAAGGCAAGCGCGGGGGGCAAGCGGCCTGGCGGCAGCGGGGCGAGAGGAAGGGGAAAGGGGGGGGGGGGGGAGGTCGAGCTGGGAGAGCTGCCGCGGACATTTTCGTTAGCGGCTCTTAGTCGGGTTGCGAGCTTTTAGCAGAAGGAGACAGCCGAACAACATCCCGTTTCTTTGTTTAGATGGCGCTTGGGGTGCAATGGGACCAGGTTAATAATCCGAATCTTCGTCCTATTTTTCTTTTTTAAAAATAACAAAATTAATAATTTTAAAAAAATGGTCTGTCCTTTGCTGTTGATACTACCCCGCGCCACAAGTACAAATACAAGAATAGATGTCCGATAAACGCACCCTCCGTTTTAAAACTGACTGCACATCAATAATGTCGCTTTATCCGCAGCTGCTAAGCATCGGACAACACGGACACGGGACAGTATGATGGCAAGAGAGAAAGCTACATCGAGACAGAACTGAGGGGAAGTCGAGTGGAGGACTTGGCTATGCTGGGGGGCACAGGGGAGGGGGTGAGAGTGGAGGACGAATAGAGAGAGAGAGAATGGGGGGTAGGGGGTCATGACGCGGCCCGCGGACTTGTCTGCAAACAAGGGCAGAGCAGGGGGTCATTAAAACCGCCTCAGGAATGGATTTGTCATCGTGGCGCCGCCATTAGACGGAGAGAGGGAGAGCGCTACTCATTACTCGATGAGGTAATAACGCTGCGACCGGACGACAAAACGACATTTTCATCAAGGTGTGAGTCAGGCGCGGCGGGCGTCTAGATGCGAGAAGTTTCTCTATGTTTCATTTTCCGCACCACTGGCGACGACGTCAAAGTCGTGATTTTGGGTGGGGTAGGTGGTTGTGGTAGAGGCGAGGGGGTTTAACCCGGTTTAACCTTACGCATTACCCCGTACACCACGTATTACACGGTATGACGCACAATGTAATACCGAAAAATATCAAAATTTGCTTTAAAGTGGTAGTTTTTTCCATGTAATACCGGCGGAATACCGCGTAATACAGTGTAATACGGAGTACTCTGAACACGTTTTTTTGGAGTAAAACCCCCCTTGGGTAGAGGGAAGTGGTAGGTGGTAGTAGTGATGGTGGTCTCGGTGGTTGTAGCAATGGTGGTGGTAGTCCTGATGGTGGTGGTGGTGATGTTCGTGTTCGTGGCGGTGGTGGTGGTGGTGGTGGTGGTGGTGGTGGTAGTGGTGGGATTGAGCGAGGGCATTCTTGCTGCGAAGTGTTCGGCGTGACCGCGCACGCGGCGCACGCCACAGCTGTCCGGCACCATCAATTATTTCTTCATTACGGGCGCGAGCGCTCGGGTCGGGCTGTGACCTTGGCCGCCGCCCCTCTGACAGCCCAGCCAACCCCTCCAGTAACCTCCCCCCTGCTTTAACTTTGCTCGACATCCACGTCAGACAGACACCGGCCGACCGGCGTTTTAAATAATAAACACATTCTGTTGTCTTTAAAAATCTCCCGCGCTCCCTCGCTCTCAAAAAGGAGGAGAGACAGATAGTGGCACGGAAAAGAGTACGAGTCCAACGTGTTGATTTGAAGACTCGGAGTTACGAAGAGGGGGGAGAGGGCCGGAGCGGGCACGCAAGCAGCAGACCACTTCCCGTGAGACGTGCCTGCCCGCCCGCGCGCCAACTGTTGCGCCCGAGCTGGCGGCCGCCGGGAGAGAGAGCGCCGGGAGGGTAGGCCAGCCCGCCTGACTGAGGTGCGTCGCGGGTCGGCGTACCTCACAGGCGCGCGGGCGAGGAGGGCCCTCCCGGGCCGCTCCTTCACTCTCGCAGTCTGCGCCCCTCCCCGCTCCTCTCCGGCCCCCTACCAACTCCCCTCTGCGCCCTTCCACCTCCCCTCCACCCCCTCCGGTCTGTTTTTTCAGAGCAATATAAATCTCGGGGTAATTTTCGCTCCGACCTCAAAGCAGCGGCGGCGGCGGGCCCTTGTGACAAATACCTTTGCGCGGAAGTGGAGGAGCGATTTTTCTATGGGCCATCGAAACGGGGCAAAGAGGAAGAGAGAGCGGTGGGCGGGGAAAGAGAGAGTGAGACAGAGAGAAGGCGTGAGAGTGAGAGGGATGGGGGAAGTTGGTAATCACCACGAACGCGAGTGGCGGGCCGCCGCAGCACGCGTTGCCGCTAAAACTTGAACAATTTTTCCTTTAGAAAGTTGGCGGTACTTGTCTTCAATAGCGCACAACTCTTGCGGGGGGCAGGGCGGCCACTTGGGAAGCAATAAATATGTGGAGGGTCTGGTAAAGAGGGGGAGGTTGTAGGGAGGGGGCGGCGGAGAGGTATGGGAGAGTGAGAGACTGACTTCACATGGTTCACCAAAAAAAGAGAAAAAAGGTGCAGGGGGGAGGGGGGTAGGGGCACCACCACCGTCATAAAACAAATGACTGCCAGCAGGGCGGATCTGCGTGCTCGAGGGCGGGGCCGTGGCGGGGCGAGGTGGAGTCGGTACGGGCAGAGCCCGGTAGAGCGAGAGGGGGGCGCGGTCGGCCTGCGGTTTGGGGCGGCGGACGCCACGGAATGGAAACAAATGATGCAGCAGATCCAGCGCCCGGATAAAATCCGCAGGCAGAGCATCGGCAGCAGCATCCCGACCGCTGTGCTCCGAGAGAGCGAAAGCTGCACGACTGGAGGACTGACTAAGCGAGGGGTGCCCCCGCCCCCTCTGTTAGAAATAATGCAAAATAGAATAACAGTTTCATTTTGTTTTTTTCCGTGGTGCGGGAAAATTCACGGCGTTCCAAGGGGAAAAAAATACACGCAGTGACGACTAACACGCGAACGCTCCTGCGCAGTGAAAACTCCTCCCCCCGAGCTTGATCCACAGTAAGACATTAATCCATCGCCATCTGAGAACAAATTCATAACGCGCCACGCCACGCCGCGAACAAAGGCTAATATTTCCCGAAACAAAACGCGGCAATCTCCAGCCATTACGAGCAGAATAAACAGCGTGGCCGGGGGGACGAGGAGGCGAGGCAGAGATGAGCGGAGGGGAGAGGAGGAAGAGATGAATAATGATCGAGATGAAGGAACGCTGATTGATCGCCGGTGCTCATCGCATCTTACTACCCCCCGACTCCGAACTGGATGAGATGGATACACTGCAGGCAGCTTCATTTTTTTCCTCCGCCGCTCTCCTTTTCGTCTCGCGTTGCCGTCAAAATAAGGTCCTAAAAGTTTTCGAGCGAAGATGTTATCGACCCTCTATATACCAGACCCAAGAAATCTCGCGACTCTCTTGACGTAAGCCTTGTACACTGATTTGAAAGTCTTTCCGGAAAATTCAAGATGTTTATAATTTAAGATTGGCTAACGAGCGATATTGTAAACGACTGCATTCCTAAAATAGCAAACAAAAAAATTCTTATAAATTAGGCCTCAACTTTTTGACAATACTCAAACGAAAAGTTTGGGACGCATTATATGATGACAAATTTACCAAAAAATTTCCACACATCATAGTGTGCAAAATATTAGCAAGTACCCGAAGGTGTGTTTTTTTCATTACACTCTCCCCCTCTTTCTTTTTCTGCGCTGCACGGATATCGGGGAGGCTGGCGTGGGGTGCCTTGTCGGAGAGATCGGGCGCAAAGCAGAATGAAGAGTGATGCCCGTCATAACGCCACGGCGGGGCGGCGACGAGCCGGGGGCGGCCGGGCTGATGAAAGCGAGGGGCATTTCGCTCCGGCAAAGGTAGAGTAAAAGATATGGAAAGATGATGAAGGCGGATGTGGAAGGGGGAGGGAGGGAAGGAGGGGGAGGGGGGTGCACAACGAAAAAAAAATTTGGGAAGCAGCGCGAGCCGATCCATACCCTGCTCCCCGTGCCGCTGCAGCGCGCGGCCGGGCCCCCTGCTCCCCGGAGAAATACCGAAAATGCAGCCCTGCGAATGCGCAGGCAAGCGTGGGTAAGAACAAGATCGACGGCAATAATTTCACGAAATGCAAACGCGGCACAGGACAAAGCCAAAAGAGAGGAGTCAGAACTGTGTTGATATGCCTTGAGGAGAAGAAACAATAAATGCTCCAAATCATTTCTTAAATTAAAATCATCTATTCTTTTTAAGCGAGGGGAGGGGGTTAGTGATTTAACGGCCGGTAACGTTACCGGTAAAGTAAGGTAAAGTAACGGTAAAGTACGGTACTGTACCCAACACCCGGTAAAGTTGGTAATGTTGGTAAAGTGCGTTTGCCTACCTACAAGGGGAAAAGCACTGCA